GGGAGGGAGCTGGAACTGGTTCTAAACAGCACTGTAGATTTGTGGAACCTCTTCTATAGAAGAAGTTAGAACTGGCAGGAACCCACCCCTGGTGTATACCCATTTATATCAAATGCTAATAGAAGGTTACCACTGAGGACTATAAACATCCAGGTTTATCTTGGATACTACAGGCAAGGATCACATTTATTGGCTGATTTAGAGGGCATGGCATCTTTCTGAAATAGCTAGTTCTCTCCTGAATGCAATCCTTGAATCTCTTTGCTTTGTAAGAGTCACAGATGCTGAGATATAGGATCTAAATTGTTGTTCCTATTTCTTTAAATTTATACCAAATGTATTAAGGTTAATGTTTAATTCAGTGTCATTAAAGGGGCAACTGTTACTTTTTGTTTGTTTGTTTCATATTTAACAGGTCAACATGGTGATTGGCATCCTTGTGTTTAATAAACTAGTTTCCAGAGATGGAATCCTAGATAAAAAACTCAAGCACAGAGCTGGGTAAGGAAAAGTTGGAATGTATCAATGATGTATTACTAAATTCTGTCTATCGATTGTTAGAGTCACCACATGTATTTTTATTTAATTTCACTTTGAGCCTTTTTCTCTCAATTTAACTTCCAGTTCTATTCATCTTCAAATTGATGTTACCTTATTTTTCTTGATGAAATGTGACTGAGCAACAGAAAAATAATAAAACACAAGTACAGTTGTATTAAGTTAAAAAGTGGGGGGGGGGGAGTGAATAACCATGCATGTCCATGCTTTGAAATTTTCCTTGGTTTTGGTACAAGTTGAGTATTTAGAATTATATAATTTTGATTAGTGGGGAAAAATCCATTTTTAGAAATGCCAGAAGCATTCTAAGATTTTAAAAAAAGTATTAGAACTGGGTCATTTGTGTGATTACTTATGGGTTATGAATCAAGAAGAATTAGACATACTAATTCTTATGAGCCGAGGTGGTGCAGTGGTTAAATGCAGCACTGCAGGCTACTTCAGCTGACTGCAGTTCTGCAGTTCAGCTGTTCAAATCTCACCGGCTCAANTCTCTCTCCCTCTCCCTCTCTCTCCCCCTCCCTCCCTCCCTCTCTCCCTCTCTCTCAAACTACATGACTTCATTTCAAACATCCTACTATATTCATGTTTTAAATCCTACATGGTTTTATCAAGATATCCAACGATTATACATCTATTATGGCCATCAGATTATTTTCAATAGACAGTAAAAAATTAAAAAATAATTTTCTTCCTTTCACAGTTGTACAGAAGTTTATACAAACAAGGAAAATGAATAGACTCTTAGTGTAAAGCCAAAGTAAAAATATCACACTCTTAAATAAAGGTGTTACTTTTGTCATTGGCAGTCTCCTGTGTATAAAAGTGTAATGTGCCAAGGAGTGTGAAGTGTCAGCATCTCAGTCACGCAGCTGGCTCATAACGTTGGGCAAAGTAGGGGCTGTAAACTTTATGAGCAACCATGATTTTTCAAAGATTTTAGATATCTAAATTATTGAGATCTTTATGTATCCCAGCTGAATTAATGAAGTCTTTATGAGGTAAGGTCCAGTTAGAATTTAGCTGCATAGTATTAAATTTAATGGTCAGTCCAAAACAGATTGATTGTGATGTTTGAATGCGCTGAAATGTATTGGAAACATACTGGAAAGTTTTCATAAACAATATATCTTTGGAAGAATAACTTAATATAACTCAGAAGAGAGTTCATGAGAATTTCTGATCTATGATGACAAAATAAAAAACCCTCAGTAACTCAATAAACTATATTGGTTTAAAAATTAAAATTAGACTTCTGAACCCCTTGATAATCAAGCTTGCAGCTTAAATGTGATATATATCTCAATTAGCCAGGGTTCTCTTAACGAATCAGCATTGGCTGCGAAATGGATTAGATGAGATCTTGAGCTAAAATCTGCTTTACCTCAGCCTAATGAATTATTGTAAGAATGTTGCTATAAATCCATCTTTCCTTCATAATTCCTCTAGATTAGGGCAAGTAACTGATACATAGTATCAGTGGGTGATTTGATGACCTAAATGGCAGGAATCATGTCAGATACACACATGGAACCAGAATTTATTGTTTTTCCTTTGTTCAGAGACATGCATGCATTTGTAAAAGTACATTATCTTATTTTAGAGTGTAGCCTACAATTTCTATGTGTTTCTTGCTTTAAATCATAGGAAACTGCCAGCAATTTTTGACTTTTGCATAGAGAGGTTTCAAGGGCATGCAAAACAGAGCCACTTTGAAACCCTGGAATTTATGATTTTTTATTTATTTATGCGCTAAACTCCTTCTAAGTAGATAAACTTCAATGAACAGTGTAACTCAATATTTGTCTAAATAAAAGTAAATCTGAGTTAAACAGGATTCATTTCTCAGGTAATCTTTGCATATGCATGTTTGCGGAATTAATGAATTTAATCTTATTCAAAAATTGTATTCCCAATAGAATTATAATGTTATTAGATATCTTTTATCCCATTTGCTCTTAGAATCTGGAGATATTCAAGACCGAGTATTTCCCCTTTTTCCATGCAAAACATGTGAACTGTGATCCTTCCTATCCTGTTCCCATAAAATTATATTATAATTATAGTTTGAACCTAACAGTGCAAAACAGACAAGCAGAATTCTATATTGCTCAGTGTCATATAGTTATATTTCTGCATATGTGTTATAGTATGTGTATACCAGTGCTGGGTTTCAAAAAATTTTAGAACCTCTTCTGTAGCTGTGGCCTGCTTTGTGGGAGTGGCTTGCCAGCCATGTTACCTGGTAGGAGTGGCTTGCCAGTCATATGACTGGGTGGGAGTGGCTTGCCAGCCATGTTACCTGGTAGGAGTGGCTTGCCAGTCATATGACTGGGTGGGAGTGGCTT